ATAACAGTTTTTTTTTTAAAATTACAGATTTTTTTCATTGTCTGAGATGAAATATGCATATTTAAAGGTGCAAAACATTTTTAATCCTTTGAAAATTATTTTTCATCTGTTTCAATAAAAATAAATTCTGTATTTATAGAAAAACTTTAATATCCTCTATGTATGTTTTAATTTTCAATCATTTAATGTCATTTCTTATAGTTAATGCAGTATCTGTTTTGAAATTTAAAAAAATTAAGTCAAATTATTTTAAGCTCACCTGAGCACTTTAAGACCTACTTCTGAATTCAAGAATCATGACTTTCTCTAGCAGTGTATCTCAGATGGGCGATGTAGGGCCAATATAGTTCTCTTGTTTAAACAATGATAAAGAGTTAATTGTTAAAGGCAAATATAGTCTGTTGTTTAAAGTATATGTTATTTAAAGTATAAAATGACTTGTTTTAGGTAAAATGTGTTCTTATTTTAACATAGTTCTATTAATTAATGCTATTTATTTCATTATAATCAAAGTGTGTACAATTTTATAAATTGAAGAAAGTTGTATCTGGTTAGATATAGGTAATAATACTTTGTTTTGTTCTAATTTAGAATAATGATTGGATTAACAAGGCTGAATGTGTAAACAAAGAAGTTTGCTAAGATATATTAACTGTTCATTGTGCCAAACATACCATTGTAAATATTATCATCATAATCATCGAATATCTACTCATTACCCCACCCATTATATCATTTATAATCTTAGTTACCTCCCTTTAGCCGGATTTATACAATGCTGTATGACGTCATTATTATGTAATAAAACAGTGATTGTTTCTAGTTAATTAAACAGTGATTGTTTCTAGTTAATTAAACAGTGATTGTTTCTAGTTAATTAAACAATTACTGTTTCTAGTTAATTGAACAGTGACTGTTTAAAGTTAATTAAACAGTGATTGTTTCTAGTTACTTAAACAGTGATTGTTTCTAGTTAATTAAACAGTGATTGTTTCTCGTTAATTAAACAATTATTGTTTCTAGTTAATTGAACAGTGACTGTTTAAAGTTAATTAAACAGTGATTGTTTCTAGTTAATTAAACAATTATTGTTTCTAGTTAATTGAACAGTGACTGTTTACAGTTAATTAAACAGTGATTGTTTCTAGTTAATTAAACAATTATTGTTTCTAGTTAATAATACAGTGATTGTTTACAGTTAATTAAACAATTATTGTTTCTAGTTAATTGAACAGTGACTGTTTAAAGTTAATTAAACAGTGATTGTTTCTAGTTAATTAAACAGTGATTGTTTCTAGTTAATTAAACAATGATTGTTTCTAGTTAATTAAACAGTGATTGTTTCTAGTTAATTAAACAGTGATTGTTTCTAGTTAATTAAACAGTGATTGTTTCTAGTTAATTAAACAATTATTGTTTCTAGTTATTGAAACAGTGATTGTTTCTACTTAATTAAACAATTATTGTTTCAATTTAATTAAACAATTATAGTTTTTTAGTTAATAAAGTCATGATTTTTTAATCACATTTAATCATTCGATATACCATATTCAACAAAATTCACTGGTGGCTAGGGATAAGAAAAATAAAACAGAAGTTTATTTAAACATGTGTTGTTATGTATTGCTGCCTGTTTCAGTCCCATTATGTCAAAAAAGAACCTCAGTAGAGTCCCTTTAAAATTGACCTTTACTGTACTCGGGGCCAATACATTCTTAACTTTTGTATACCCGGGTCAATACATTTACAGGCACTAGCCTTACATTTTGATGTACCCGGCATATACATTCATAGGTATAGGGCACTAAAGTTGACGTTCTTTGCCCAAACATTCACAGGAATGGACTTTCAATTTTGAAAAACTTGGGCCAATACAAGGCACTGGCCTTAATTTTTGATTTTCTCTTGCCAATAAGCAATGGCCTTGCATTTTGATGTCAACTGGCTAATACAGTTAAGGCACTGGTCTTAATTTCTATGTACCCGGGCCAATACATTCACACCGGACTTGACCTTCAATTTTAAAGTACTCTTATATTTCAGTCCAAATATCCTGGAAATTGGCCAGAAAGGTTGTTTAGAAGATTTTAGCTCAAGTTCAAATATGTGTTATCTGTGCTTACTAGGACACACAGCTCAAATATGGAAAACCCTTGTTAACACTCAAAAAGATTTAGTCTATATATATCCTGTGGTCACAAACTAGGTCACACAACCCAAATATCGAAAACATGTCTTAACAGTCAAGACGTAACGAAAAACAAGAAAACCGCGAGATTTTCAGATAATTTTGATTTTGTCATTAAGGAAGGTTGTTTTCCGGGACTGTGTTTATCTCCCTTTACAAATAGAAGAAGAAGTCATTAATCTCATACTACACATTTGACAAAACATTTATAGCTCATAGTCACTATATAGAAAGAAAACAATGCATATTTTCTTACAAAATTAGATAAACGATACAGAATCGGTATGGCCCTATCATGGCCATTCTGTTTTATACAATTCAAATAGCAAGCGAGATTGTCAATATTTTAAACTGAAAAAAAAACTAAACAAGGATGTAAAATTGGACGATAAACTTATAACTAGTGCACGGTAATTTATCACAAGTTTATAAATGGAAATTTTATCTCTCAAGGTTAAAGATTTCATGAGTAAACATTGTAAAGTACATTTAAACATTATCGGTTAAGTTTCGTAGAAATGCAAAAACAATGTCACTTAAAACATGACGCTTGAATATGATTGTTAAGGGGATTATAGTTGTTTTTGTTGTTTTTAGAAAATGTAGAAATGTTGTTAATAAATGATGGTTCAGTGTTAGCACGGATTAATATATAAATCCGTGGTGTTAGCAAATAGAAAGAGCTAAAAAATAAACTATTTATATACATGGCATACACCAATATATTAGAAGTTTGCATGTACCATAATCTTATTGTATCATAGTTTGGAGACCTTTCTGTTGAAAATGTGTCAGGGTTAAATCGTATACATATACATGCACAGTTATTAGTTACCCGCACTCCAGAGCATGCCCATTGATTGGCTCATTTTTGCTGGGGTTTACATACTGTGACGACAGAGAAAGGGAAAGCGACAGAAATGTCATATTCAGATGTTCGTTCATTGGTTCATTTTTGCCGGGGTTTCATATTGTGACAACAGGGAACGTGCTTTTATGTTTGACTATGATACAACCAAAACACTCGGCAATCTGATTAATACTCGGGGGCTACGCCCCCTCGTACACCTCGTGTTTCGGTGCTCTTTCTATTACTTATTTGTATGTACATGTACGAGTATACTTGTATCCTTTTACTTGTTTGAACTTGTACGTGTATGTACTTGTATTTTTACTTGTATTTTGTATGTATTTGTATTAGCACATGTGTTTGTATATATTTGTACATGTTTTTGTATGTACTTGTATTTTTACTTGTATTTTGTATGTATTTGTATAAGCACATGTGTTTGTATATATTTGTACATGTTTTTGTATGTACTTGTATTTTTACTTGTATAAGTACATGTCCTTGTATGCTTTAGTTGTTTATGTATTAGTACTTGCTTTTGTATGTTCTTGTGTAATTTTATTTATATTAGTACACGTTAATATATGTATTTGTACTTGTTTTTTATGTACTTGTATATTTACTTGTATTTGTACATATTTTTATTTGTACTGGTTTTTGTATGCCGGGCACAATTTCACTGTGTATCGGTGCACACGTTGCCTTGAAGCTAAAAGACACTGTTTTCTTTGTGCCGTACAAGACTAAAATGTTTACTTTTTAGAATGAAAAATGAAGATTAACTTAAAAAAAGAAACACATTTCACCTAACATTAAAACCATTGAGTTAATAAATGGGAAGATATAAGTTTACTTTATGTTAACGTTATGGATCATGTACATATTTAAATTGTCTAGATGATTAAACGTTTAATATAATATAGTACATATAACAACTGATAAACTAAAGTGTGTTAAATCTCCCGGTAAATATTTCAAGATTTTTTTCGTAATTAAGTGAATTCATGAAAATCTGCACGTATGCCAGGATTGTTTTTATAATTTATGTTAAATTGATAACCGGTTCAATATGATAACATTAAATTAAAGATACATGTTTACATTTACCCCGGCTGTTACATGAAAACATATAACCCGAGCATTGATTAAGATTATTGTTTCTTTCTTGTAAGAATCAGCAGAATTTAATTCAGTAAAAGTTGAAAGTGAAATGCAAACATCCCATTAAAAAACTTCCGTGAAATTAAAGTAAAGTAAAGTTAAAAGTCAAACATCCGTGAAAATAAATACAGAGTCTGGAAGGGAGATAATTCTTGTTGGCGTGATGTAAACTCCGAAAAACACCCTGTACACTGTTCACCAATGCGGAAAATGATTTTTAAACAGTGATTTATATATAACATATATATTTAAAATCTAATTTACAAATAAATTGTGATGTTTTTTATATGATGATGATGATGAAATACCCGCGTAGTTTATTTGTGGCTGTCTGAGCGTTATTCTATTCAAATCACAGCTTCTTATACTAACCTAATGAGATTAATTTTGATAATCAGTTATTTATTAACTGTATGTAAGTGGTATAGTATAACCGTTTACAGGCCGGACTTGTATTATTTCATTCGGTTATTATGACTATATTTTTTTTCTCTATTATAATCACAACATTAATGATTAGGTATTTAAAACACATGACTGATTTGAGTGTTTTGTGTGTGTTTTATTTTTGTTTTGCTCGGTGGATTTACTACAGCAAGATCAATATTCATGAATGACTGAACGTGACTACGAGCAAGTTAAAAGTCAGAGATATCTATGAATTTTGACCTATCATATCATTCGTTAAATTTCGACATTTTCCGTAAAGTTCCGTAATTTAAGAGAGAAATCCCAGGTTTATAGCTAACCATTTTATATTATTACAATAAGATAGAGTCTTAGAAAAAAATGGGATTCTTAACAATAAATTAAAAAGTAACGTTTAAATATTTAATAATACATGTATAAATATAGACATTAAAAGGGTAAAATTAAAGGTACCAGTACAGTTTTGTATATAAATTTATATATTAAATTGTAAAGAAACGTAATTAAAAAGGATGTGATATTTGTTGTAGCATCTTATGCATGGTATATTTTTGTGGTATTTTTTTCAAGTACTTTTACATGATTTAAAAATAATCAATCATAACTGTGTAATAATACTCAGCGAAATCTATAAATAGATCCGCGTGGTATCCGCTTTAAAAAGCGTCTACGTGACAAGGAGCACGCTAGATTCAGAAACTCTCGTCTGCTTCAATGACGGAGTGATATATTCTAATTCTCATTCCGGAATAGCGCGGGTGTGAGGAAAAAACGGTTGGATATTAGCGCTAAAAAGGGCATAATTTGTTTGATAAAAGTAAGTTACTTTATTTTTTATTTTAAACTAGATTTATACTTTAAAAATGGCTTGATTTCGTTTTCGTTTTGCAATTAGTTTTCTTAATTTTATTGACTGAAAATATTTTTGTTGTCATAACTATCGCTTTGAGTATCGGAAAATTTGATATTCGAACAGCAAAAAATATATATATAAATTAATATATACATGAAAACATACATAATTACTGAATACAGTGTTCATAATTGTAAAGGATATCATAATAAATTCACGATGTTAACTAAGAAAAGCGGATATCGGTGGTTTAAGACGCTCAAGTTAAGAAAATCATCTCGATTATGTTTGAAATTATGTATATAAATCTAATTTAGAGGTTTTCATTTTTTAAATGAATTTAGCCAATGATTTGACTGAAGAAAACGAACAAAGTAAATCATTTTTAAAAGTGAATTTATATAGTTTATAATGTTTTATTAAATAATTGTATTATACCACTAAATTAAACTACCGTATAAACATTATATGTTCCTTCTTTTATCACATTAAACTTTCTGTAAAGATGGGAAGTAAATTAATTTATTTATAACATCATAAGACAAACATCATATCTTGATTAATTGTCAAGAAAAAACAACACTGGCAGTCGACTTCCGGAAAAAAGTTAACGATTCTTTCAATTTATCATTGTAAAATAAATTGTGTTTTTGGAGTTATATAGGATTAATGAAATTGATAAAAGAAACGCTTTAATTATTAATATATCAAAATGCTGTGTATACATATTTCACCGTTATTGTAATTCAAGAGAAAAAGCGGACTAATTGTTTGGCATCAAAATGTTGCTTTATGGTAGAAGAGATGGGATGTTGGCACGAAATTGTCTACGTTTTTAATCTGCCTATCAGACAAGTAGAAATGTTGTCATTTAATCTGAATTGTTTAGATGACAATGCATAATCGATGACTGAAGTTTCCTCATCTAGCCATTCATCACATTAGTTAGAAAACGTCCGTTGAGGATACAAATATATTGCTTGCTAATATATCTAGACAGTCTAACAGACTGATTCTCCCAGTTGTTGTAGAGATGACCTTGAATTATCCAATAATAATAACTTGAAGGACAACGTTTAGGCAGGCAGCACAAAAGTCTTGATGTTTGTTAAGTCTTGTCTACTTAAAACAAAACAACGATTAGGCGATAAGCCAGTCGTCATCTTTTAAGATTAGAATTTTAATTATTGAGTTTAGATATATGATGACTTTAATTTATTTCCTATCTCATGTACACGTCTAGCTATACAATGCAAATATTATGATTTTAAGTTTCTAACTAAACGGATCTTAATATATATCATAGAAAAATTCAAACTAATGAAAATGTTAACAATTGTTTCATAGTTCCCACAATCCTCCTAAATATAGCATGAACATTTTAATTATTTTAAGTCACGAAATCAAAGTATCTAATCGTAAAACATTAAAAGGCACATCGTTTGATAAAGTAACATGCCTCCAGATGAGTCAAAATATTTCAATAAAATCGAACTACAGGAAATTGTACTAAGGTATAAGGAAAAGTAAAAAGTTTCAAGATTCTAGTGATATTTTGCATATTATGTGCGATAAAAGACTGATATTTTCAGTACTTACAACGAAATTTCTACTGCGTTACTAACACAGTTAAAACTATTTATGCATATTTTGACAACATTTTGGTAATTTACGTGGTTTGTTAATGCCATTGATAATGTGTAATTGCTTCCTTTTGGTTACTTCACAATATTACATTTTCAAAATTTTCATGAAAATTAGCATGAATCTGGAGGCGTGCTGCTTTAAGGTGATCTTTTTTAAATTTTATTTCCTGACCTTGACTTGTAGCCTCTAAATGACCTTTATACATTATCAGCATGTATACAAAATATATAAAACATATTTATATATAATAAAACATTATACATTACAGTAAAATAAAGTAGTGGATAAATTGTTATCTGATACAAGTGAAGTATACAAATATAAACAAAGTACACATGTACTTATAGTTTATACTGGTACTAATTGTGTAAGTAATGGATCATTAATTCTAAAGTTAATTGTGACTGTGATCTACCTCTCTAATTAGCTTAATTAACTAATTAATCTTTTTTTATCATTGACTATTATCTAAATTTATTTATCATCTTAACTGAACTGTAACTATCATCTTATTTGCTTGTTGTTTTTCGTATAGCAATTTAAATTACAGACTTCATTCATAAAACCAATATTATTGTGGCTGATTTGTGCCATTCGTGTTTTCACCCGCGACCCCGCCATTTTAACTTGTTAACTCTCGACTTTTTGCTTGGCGGGGTCGCTGGGCGAAACCACGAATGGCACAAATCGGCCACCATACAATAATGAACCCGATTTTATATGGTTATGTTTGTAAGAACGGGTGCTAAAAGTCTATATACATTTTGTACTTATATCTTTTTTTTCAAATTGAACAACTAGTTAAAGGCGATAAAATATTTTAATGAAATTAAAGAGCAAATTTGTTTAGCATGAAACAGTTTAATTAAAGATTACTGTCCGACAAATCTTCTGTAGAGTGCAACTTCCGGTTACTAAATTATTGTAATAAAGAAAGTCAATTATCTAGAAATAAAATTATATTGTACATGTATACCTGAATTATGTGTTAAATAAGGCCCAAATGTATCCATACTTCCATTTCAGAAAAACGGTGTCCTGATTTAATTTCAAACCATCATTTTAGTTTTTTTATCAATTAAAATTTTATATTTCCATTAAGGTAAATAATGAACAACCAGAAATATTATGAAAATCTTGTTGTTTTTTTTCCTTCAAGGGTTAGGGTTACAATAAAAACAATATAATTGATAGTTACCCATTGTATTTTGAGGAGAAATATAATATCAAAAAGTATAGGCTTATTATTAGCTATAATTTTATTCATTTTTCATTTCCAGGCAAACATGTCGTCTTTACTTAGAAGAAATATTCAATCAACTCTTCATGGCATTGCGGTTTGTATACTTAATACTTTAATGCTTTATATTTAGAGAACATTTTTTGTTATATGATGTTCAGATTAATATACGGTATGAGGTAAATTTACTGGATAGTTTGTTGTTATGAGGATTATAGACTGTAAATGCGATTATTATGAGGTCATTATACTTGAAATGTGATTGTTATGAGGTTAATATACTGTATAGGTAGTTGTTATGAGGTTAATATATGTTAAAAGAGGTTGTTATGAGGTCAATAAACTGTATTGGTGGATGTTATGAGGTTAATATACTTTAAAGGTAGTTATTATGGCGTAAATATACTGTAAAATTGGTTTTCATGAGCTCAATAACCTGTAAAGGTAGTTATTACGATGTTAATACACTGTAAAGATGGTTGTTATGAGGTAAATATTCTTTACATTTTGTTGTAATGAGGTTACAATACTGTAAAAGTAATTGTTGTGATGTTAATATACTGCATAGGCTTTTGTTATGAGGTTAATATATTGAAAAAGTGGTTGTTATGAGGTCAATATACTGTAAATATACATGTAGTTGTTATGAGGTTAACATACCGTAAATATAGTTTTTATGAGGTAAATATACTGTAAATATAGTTGTTATAAGGTTAATATACTGTAAATATGGTTGTTATAAGGTCAATATACTATGATTGAATTTTGCAAATATTGCAATATCTTTATACTTTATCGACCATTTGTATAGTTAGTTTATGGAGACAAGCGATCAAGATAACAGTGTGATAAAAAGTACTAAAAGCACTTGGCGTGTCTGTCTAAAATAAATTAATGACAATTTGTTTTGTTTGTTTTTTTGCTCCCAGTGGTTGATACATTAACTTTGATATCGTTTTCGGGAATTTAAAATGTTTTTAAATTACCTGTTTTGTTTATTACTTGGTGATTGGTAATTTTGATGAACCATTTTTATGTGTTTACAAATCTTCTTACATATTTGACAATGAATATAAATTGACAATAATGTTTACTAACTACATGAAATAAAATGAAAATAACGGAAAAAATACGATACGAATGTGAATGAGTCAGTAAAAAAAAAACAACAAAGAACGGAATCAAAATTTTATATATCAATCAATATTTAGATTCAGAATGTCGTAATTTCTAAACTGATGTTCAAACACAATCTGTCAACAAAACTAACTGTACAAAACGTTTTGGTCTACTGCTTTCTGTGGTTTATTTCACATAAAAGTTTGATCATTTAACACGTCCGTAATTAAACTTAATGTTTGAAATTATTTTTGTCCAATAGAATTGCAGTATTGTTGCGCCGTTCTTAACCCGTTTAATTGTGCAAATGCTTACTTATAAACACTAACCTATTATACTTAATTTGAGATGGAAGAATTCATCACTGCATTGTCACTAGTTATGAGTTATGAGTAGAATTATAGGGTGCAGTATTTTAATTGAGATATTGCATTGTCATTAGTTATGAGTAAAAGAGATAGGACACATTGTTTTAATTTAGATTTTGAATTGTCACTAGTTATGAGTAAAAGAGATAGGACTGAATGTTTATAATTGAGATATTGCATTGTCACTAGTTATGAGTAAGAGAGATAGGACTCAATGTTTATTATTGAGATATTGCATTGTCACTAGTTATGAGTAAAAAAATAGGACACAGTGTTTATAATTGAGAACTTGCATTGTCACTAGTTATGAGTAAAAAAATAGGACACAGTGTTTATAATTGAGAACTTGCATTGTCGCTTGTTATGAGTAAAAGAGATAGGACTCAATGTTTATAATTGAGATATTGCATTGTCACTAGTTATGAGTAAAAGAGATAGGACTCAATGTTTATAATTGAGATAATGCATTGTCACTAGTAATGAGTAAAAAAATAGGACACAGTGTTTATAATTGAGAACTTGCATTGTCACTTGTTATGAGTAAAAAAATTAGGACACAGTGTTTATAATTGAGAACTTGCATTGTCGCTTGTTATGAGTAAAAGAGATAGGTCGCACTGTTTTAATTGAGATATTGCATTGACACTGCGTTATAAGTAACGCAGTGTTTTAGCTGAGATATTTTTTATCAACACTGATGATTTACTCTAACCCTTACTGAGATATTATCTTATCACTAGTAATAAACAAAGGCGATACACCTGTATCTATGAGTAAATGTTTTTTATTTGTTATTTGATGCGGCACATTAATATTTTACTATATACTTACAATTTATTGATCAAGCTCTATAACTAACTGAACTTTCTGTTACAGTTGTTACCTCAATTTCTACTTGTTGGTGGAGGGGGGCTAGTTGGTATTTACTTCACGGGATGGAGTTTTCGTCAGTACTATAACAGTGGTGAGTTCTTCTGTTCGTAAACCATTACATTTCATACAGTATTGCAAACATCATTCAAATATATACATATTACAAAAACAGAACTGTTGTAAAAAAAAAAAAAAAACACTTCACGGTATAATCTTATCCGCATGTTGTAAATGCGTAAAAATCTTGTGAGTTGAATCTCGGAAGCATTAATCGCAACAAAATTACATGAAAACTGCAGACTCGGTTTGATCGAGTCTATACATAAGGTATAATGTAAAAAATGTAACAACATTCCCCACGCCCTCTAGCACCGGCTTGAGCGGTACTCAATTTTCAACTCTTAATAGTGCTGGAATCAATGATAAGAAGGATCCTTAGATCAGATATTGAAAAAAGTCTAATAATAATGATATAAAAATTATCAAAAATCTATTGGACTATGCAATTCATGAACCTACGCTGATGTCTTCAGAATTGCTATCTAGATCTACCCGTATTTAGTTTATATACGCATTGATTCCAAGTTAGTTTTTCTGTTTTGTAAGACTCTACTCTACTATAATTGATTGAGTCAATACACGAGGGATAATGTAAAATGTAACAACATTCCCCACGCCCCCTACCTAGCACCGGCCTGAGCTTCAGTAAGACTCTACTATATAATATATATTTGCAGACAAAGAACCGTCAGCACCCTACACTAGCATAGAAAAAGACATTCCGTCATCGGACGAGGTAAATATATAAATTATATACTCATAAAATATTAAAATGTTTCCTGTAAAAATAAATTCATTGTCAGGTGATCTTTGCATTGAATCAATATGAACATTTATTATATAGATCTACTTATAAATGAAATATTGAGAAATATTGATGAAATAAAATGCATATTTTCATTTTCCGTCTTTTCGCTGTAAAAATATATTTTTCACTGCAGTGTAACATATTTTCTGTATTTCCACTGGTGTTTTGCCGACTAGTTTTTTTTTAATTTATCCAATACACAAATTTTAATTGTAATGTCAGAAAAAGGAAAAAAAAAATATAGATTCTAATAAACAGAAAATTCAAGTTTTTTCTATGAATACAGGATTTATTTTCATCTTGTGGTATGAAACTTTTCATATTTCACTTGTGGCTACCGCCACTCGTGAAATATTTACTACGTTTTTTGAGTAATAAATTTACAATATCATTTTGTAGAATCATTGTCTTGATAGCATATCAATGTTATTGTCTGTTGTTTTTACATTTTACAGCTTTACAAACAGCAATAGTGATTGAAGAGCACTTTCGCAAACATTTCGTCATCAACAGACTGTGATTACGTCATTTCTATTTCTTTTCTTCCTCGAAGCTTCGTTCAATACATTTGACGATCACGTCATCATATATTTTATTCAGTGGTGTTATTATAAGGATTTAACTCAATACAGGATTGGAGCAGTACCTCTAGACGCTTGCAGAAATCATGATCACAAAATAGACAAATATCGTTTTTTTCGCCGATTTTTACATTTTCCTTCATTATCGTACTTAATTCGGTGTGAAAAGATGAATTAGGCCTGTTAAAGTTCATTCCGTTGGGTAAAAAGACAAGATTTTAGCATTTTATCATTCAAGCGCCTTGTCCGGTATATACCAGAATACGGTATTTAAATAGTGTGGTGCTCCAATCCTTTTTTTAGTTTTACTCGTTATATAAACTACATGACGTCATGTTTATTATAATAATTATCGTTATTATTTAAAGCTATTATTCTCGTGGTAAAGAAGAAATATGAAAGTTATATACATTAACAGATTATTTGTCAACAGTATCCAATGTAGTCTTTTGTTCACTAGAATCAGCGTCATGTAATCCATTTGTCACATTTCAATGGTTATCTATTCTTGTGTATTTTTATGTCAATGCTAGACCATAGATGTCAATTTTATTTATTAAAGATAGATTTATATATAACTCTGAGTATGTGCTTTATTTATTATATAGATATATCAATCTATATATATATAGCCTTGCTTTCTAATATATGTGTTGTTTTAATATCACCCAACTTTAATATAAGTATGAAGACAGTATAGATTAAAATGTCGATGTGAAGTATAAATATTGTGTTAATAAAGGTAATATGACAAAATATAACTTATTTTAATGTTGAATGTTAAAAAAGCAAAAATACATGTTTGAAGTATTTACATAATATCATTTGTCAAGCTATTTTCAAACACTCGTATATATATTTATTTTCTGATTTTATTTAAATGAGAAGAAGAAAAAACCAATAACAAAAAACAACAAATATCTTATAAAGTTTTTACATGTTAAGTTTCCGGTGCTCTTTAAGAATAACGTTGATAGATTTATAATTATATATCTCAAATTGTTTTATGTATGTATGTATTTTAATAACAGATACATATACAAACATGGTCAATTGTTATACAATCTATGGCAGACTATATTTATATGTATGTTGTTGAATGATAATAAACAGAATGTATAGTATATTTTATCTTGTCTGGTGTTTCTTAAAAGCTGAAACGTGAAACCCCAACACCATCCTGCCACCAGTAGAATAATGGAAATGTTCAAAATAAAAAAAAATGAAAAAAAAAGAATATACGCTCCAACGGGCATTTTGTTTCTTAATATAAGTATGAGTTCCTAACCCCATTACCTCCCCCCAAGTGAAGGAGATATTTATGTTGTTATGTTGAAGATTGGTTGTTTGTAACGTTATGAAAAACGTATGTGCCCTAAAACAGCTATTGGCGAAAATAATAAAATGGAAATGGTGAAAGGGGATCGAAGGTATAAAACACTGCATATGAATCTTGTTGGTCCTGACGAGAGCTTTATATGACAATGATAGTCGATAGAAATGTTGTCCTAAAAGGCGAACGATTTCATAAACGAAATGCATACTTACATTTTTTCAACAAAGTGCTTGAAATATCTATAATATGTAAATTATTAAACGGCTGTTGTGTGTTTATAACAAACTATAAAACTTGTATTGTTCAAGGCTTTGATTTGAAACATATCTGTCAGAAAGAGCTTCCCATTTACATAGCTTTCTCTAAACTTTACAATATAATTACAATGAGTAACGCACTCGCAAGAAATGATAAAAGTTTAATTAAATAAGCTTGTAATATAATTTTACAGTGATCAAAAGTAAAAGGTGCTAGATCGTTAAGACTTGAAATAAATGTAAAAATGATTTTTGTCTATATCATACTCTGGAATACTGTTATTTTTGTGTTAGAAAATCAGCGATAACATTTGGCCAGGTAACAAAAATCATTGAATTTTACAATTGATTTAGGAATAACAGCGAACGTAATATAATACTAAAATATAACTTCACTGTGATTACAAAATAATATACCTATTTATGGTGTAAGTTCTCTGAAGGTAAAACTTAAACAATGTTTATACATCAATAAAGTTCGAGTAGCAACATTTCCAACATTTCCCTTGGTATAAAGTTCAAATTGATTTTTTCACGAAATAAAAAAAGATACGTGAAGAAAACGTAAAAGGCCCACGTAAAGGGCCCTTTTTAATACCCCCCCGGGGAAAAAATTTTTAAACTTCCCTTTTTTTTAGTGGAAAATTTTAAGGGGCTAAAATTATTTATTGATGGAATCTAAAAAACCACCATAACAATCACATATAAAATTTTAATATGACAAGAAAAAACGGGACTCAGATTAAAAAACCATGAAAAAATATCCCCATAAAATAGTCTCCCATGTTTTCCTTTATAAAAGGGGAAAAAATAGCATAAATAAAATATCAAAAAATTTTAATACGTAAAAAATAGACGGGGTAAAAAATTTAAATTTGGCACCCCCCCCCTTAATTTTAAATTTTATTTTATAATAATAAAACAAAATTTGACGTAAAACTATGTATCTTAATTTCATATAAATTATTTCTCAACAATTTAATTTGTTGATTTTTCTTTAATCATGAGTTATAGTTGTTTGATATAATGTTGTATTTCGATGTACATAACTGCATATAATTATACTACATGTAGTACATGTATATAACAATATATCAAACAAGCTTCGTGTTGTTTTTATCATGGTAATTCAATGTAACTGAATATGTTTATACTAGTATATAATAATATTTCAAACAACCTTCGTGTTTTTATGACGGTAATTCAATGTAATATGGCAACAAATCTATTAAAAGTGTGTAAAAAGAAATTGGCAAGAACACATATACTGCTCACATCACTTTGTCGGTTATTTGCTTTGTTTCCTTTTGTTTATAAGTTTGTTGATATTAAATCCGCCAACCTGCTTTAGTTATACGCGATATTACTTAGTTCACCTGAACAAGAAATTAAACATAATTTAATAAACGTCAGTTAGATTAAAACAATTTCATAGCCAAATTACTTCTCGATGTCTGTTCCTTAATAGAAAAACTAAAACACTTCAAATATGAACAACATTTTATTTATTTTCGTTTTAATGATTATCATTTAAACCTTTGAATTCCCCGCTTTTTGTAAAGAATAAATAAAAATGAAATAATACTCAATAATTTGAAAAAGTGAATAAGATTGGTAAGAACAAAACTATTTCAAACCGATTCCCCGATAATCACATCCTTGTAACATACTTTTACGGCCTTAATAATTGTCATTACAAACTTCTACTTACAGGACGAATATCATTACAACGAAGGTCGTTTGAAGGACTTCTGCCATTGCCTTTAAGCGATACAATGTTGATAATGAACTGAATATAAGAGACGAAGTAACGATTATTGATGATCTAGTGTTCACGGACAAGGACATCACTGAATATCGAAGCCACACAGAAGATAAGATGATAAACATATACAGTCATGAACCCATGATTATCTTTTTATTGTAACGTCAATTATTTCTAATTGATCTTTATACATTTATTGTATCTTGTTTAACGATCAATCATAGAAATATGTTTCTCAAATGTGCATATCCGGTATTATACGTGTTACTTTCCCTTAACTTTTGAATGAAGAAAATCAACAAAAACTACAACAAAAAATGATGATTATGTGTATTATCCCTCATATACAGACTCAATCAAACCGAGTCTGCAATTCTCTTGTAATTTTGTTGTGATTAATGCTTCCGAGGGATCACTTTGTTTTCAGATTTTGATAATTCACAACAGCAGGTGTCAAGTGCTGTGTGGCAGCTGCAAAAAAATTGCCCCGAACTTCACTTCAGTGTTATACTATTCTGGTCCTTCGGGATCATTAAAGCCAGCACTATTAAGTGTTGAGAATTGAGTACCGCTCGAGCCGGTGCTATGGGTCGTGAGGGATGTTGCATATTTTCATTATCCCTCATGTACAGACTCATTCAAACCGAGTTTGCAATTCTCTTGTAATTTTGTTGTGCTTTATGCTTCCAAGGGATCACTTTGTTTTCCAGATTTTAACACTTTGCATTAATTTTCGTTGAAATTCTCACAAAATGTTGTTTCTCTCATTATAGTCTGTGCCAGCGTAACAATAAAAATATTAAAAATTCTTACTTTTTCCAGCAGGAATTCTTGGAACGAAACGACAGACGAAATTTACAATGGCCTTGGAAATCAACATTATTTTTTACCACAAAGCAGAATTACATTATTTTTTCGTTTTAATTAAAAAAGAATTTTGTTTCTGATTCAATTGTAATTCATGATATTTTTAAATTCATCTGTTTAGATACAAAAAAAATGTTATAATACAATCAGTGAAGCAGATTTTGTATTTTGCCCAGTGTAAAATCTTAACATCTGTTGTAGCAAATATGATACTCTTGTAAAGATAAAATAATACTGTAACACTAACCGTAGAGCATTTTCTATCATCTTAATAAGTATTGAAACATTCGACTGTGACATTTATTTTTGCATGTCCGTTTTGTTTTCACATTGCTCACTAATACGTTAATCTCTGACATCATTAGACGTTGAAAAACTTGTACAAAGATTTTCTTTGATTCAATTTTATTTGAATTTTAACAAGAACCAAGTAACAAGTAACAATTTTTTAATTTTCACTTGTCTACCTTGGGTTTTTAACTATATGCTTTCCGATATTCTCTTTAAAACCAAATTGGCAATATTTATTTTTATAAAATTTACAGTAAGGAAATCTGAATCTCAGTTAGAATTGATTATCGATCTGTTATTTCTACAATAACTGCACATTTTACCACCGGCAATATGATTAATGTACTCTAAAATAAATGAAGCAATGTGATAAATGTAACTGACAAGGAGGTTTCAATATCTGTCTGGTCAACTTAAATTAGTCAATGTCATCATAGTGATTAACTCTTAAAGTGAAACAACGTTAACAATGGTTAATGTCTTTAATTGTAGAAACTGCTTATATATAAAT